AAATTTTCAAGATGGAAATAAGACTGTTGCAGTTTTCCTAGATCTTCAAAAGGCTTTCGATTCAGTATCTCATACAATTTTATTAAAGAAACTAAAAAGTGTTGGAGTGCGTAGTGAAGTTCTGAGTTTATTTGAGAACTATTTGCCTGATCGATTACAACAAGTTAAGGTAGGGTCATTTTTAAGCAGCATTCAAAATATCAAAATAGGTGAGCCTTAGGGGACGGTTTTGGAACCAACACTGTTCCTCATATACATAAATGAACTACTTCGATGCAATTTCAACTGTAAAATGATATCATATGCAGACGATACTATTTTAGTTTGCACTGGTCATTCATGGAATGACGCAATACGGAATGCCGAGTTGTCATTAAATAAAGTCAAATGCTGGTTGGATAACAATTTACTTAAACTTAATATCTCTAAAACTAAGTATTTGACGTTTTCTCCAACCAAAGCAGGTATGCCATTACACCACCGAACATTAATTATAAATGATAGTGCGGACACTGTCGAAAGAGTTGAAGTCATTAGATACTTAGGAATCACTGTTGACAGTAATAATTTAAAATGGCAGTGTCATGCCGATCTTTCGGCATCAAAATTAAGGAGAATTATTCATAAGTTTTTCATTCTTAGGAATATTTTAAGCAGAAAAGTCTTCTCTCAATATATAACTCGTTTGTGGGGTCTCTACTAACTTACGGGATAAGTATATGGGGAGCCGCATACACTAGTACTTTAAAAATACTGCAAATCACGCAACATCTAATGTTTTTTATTTCTTTTTTTTATATACATTTGCTCATAATATACTTTATGACCATTAGCCATGCATTGAATTTGTATATTGTATGACACACACAAGCTTATAGCTTAGGTGTCTATTCTTTTGTAGTAAATTCTTTTGTAGTAAATTGTAGTACTCTTGTTTCTCTGCTTAACCTTTACGCAAAATTTTTATTTTTTAAACATAGTTGTTTGACCTTACTCGAAATATTCCTATATTATCATATTTCAGATATTCATATTTTATGTACTCTATATTTATACTTCTGAGTGTTTTTAGTATGCTTCTGTACTATTGTTATGAATTTTAGATTTGTTTATTCAGACACGTAATTTAGAATTTATGACGACAAGATTCAGACATTTACCCTTTACGAAAGTATACAGAATTTTCACAATATTATCATATACCGTTACTTGCTTGTTCAAGATCTGATGCTTGTACCTTTGCTTAGATTTCTGTTGCAATCTTGGTTATTCAGGGTAGCAAGATCATACAAGCTCATGTATTTTTTTAAATTGTACTGAAGGTTGTTTTTAATTTGTAGGTTATATTGGTTTTTGAATTTGAATAAATAATTGAATAAATAAATCTTATCAAAAATTGTACTGAAGGTAATCAAATGACAGCGAAGCTTTCATATGCTAAACTACCATTTCATAGTCTCATCAGTCTACATACTAGGTTCCTAGTACAGCAAGATTTATCGACCATTCAACTCTAAATCATTAAAGGTAATGATATGTGGCCGAAAATTGGTAGCGTTAAAAATTCCGTCAGATTATGGGTCACTGTATGTACATATCGCAATAACAAATAGTGATACTATTATTTCCACAAATGACTTGAGAATGCATCATTTTCTCTATCTACCTAGACTCTCTACAGTTTAGAAAATTATTATACAAAATTTCTGGATTATGGCTTTAAATGTTGATGAAAGAAGGGCAAAATTCAAACAGTTCTTCAAATATATTATTTAGTTATCATTTCTTATTCTATAGACTATCTATAATAATATAAAATATAAACACTAATATCGCATCATTTAAGGAAGTCTACAACTAGTTCTATAATATGTTTTTTTTTTGAAAGAGACGTAATTTATCATTCAGGTAATCAAATGACAGCAATGCTTTCTTATGCTAAACTAAGCTCATAGACTCACCAGTCTACGTACTATGTTCCTGGTGCAACAACATTTATCGACCACTCAACTCTAAATCGTAAACGGTAATGATCTGTGGCCGAAAATTGATATCTTTAGGAACTTCTGTTTTATTCTGTATGCTTATATGTCACGGTAGGCACATATCGCAATAATAAATACTGATACTAAAAGTGGCAAATACAGGAATACCGAACAAACATAATATAAATTGCAATGACTGATTTACAGACGTTTAGATTCGTTTGCTGCATATTTTTGCCGGAATAGGTAGCGGCATATCAACTTTCAAATGTGCAAAAAGGATAAATTATAATTAAAAGAAGGGCAGAGAAGTAGATAGGATCAGTAATCATGACGCCATGGCTTTGATTCCCAACAGCACCAGCTGTCAAGCAAAACGAGTGATTTATGTTTTCTGTCGCTTGACGATTTAAGACACTTGGAAGTAGATTTTAGAATGACTTAATTCTTACCGATTGTGGATTATCTCTGTTGTAAAAAAATTAATCGACATTGTACGCATCCGGTTTTTAAAGGATGACCGAGGTTAGTCAGGAAGCCATTGAGTTTGGCTTGTCGGAGTTTGGATCACTGCGGACTTGATTTGACACGAACGCATCATATGGTGGAAGAAAACTGGGTTATCTGTCTAGAGTTAGGAGACACTTTTCGGGTCAGCAGGAAACCCTTAACTTGGGTCATGCATTTGCAATGAATTCCGAACCGACAAATAAAATATATACGACTTTAATTCTATCCGACATGAGCGATGATTTGTTTACCAGTAGTCACCGGTTATTCCAAGCTGTTACTCCCGCTATTTTCTCATGAATATCGTGATACATCGACTCAGACTTATACACAACTGCAGACGTTTGATATGTATAATCGTACAGTGACTTGAATACGTAATTGGAAGAAGCGGTGTGTTCAACTCATGGAGTTTCTCATGCATAAACAAAACATCGCAAAGAAGTGGCGCTATCTCCTCAGTGAAGTTGAAAACTAGGACCTTTTTTGTGGTCCATGTCTGACACAGAACGAGGCATACAGACTCCAAAAAGTGCAAAACCATTGCATAAGGTTCAGTTTACGTATTCAAAGACGGGAGAGGGTGTCTGATCATATTAAAAAAATGCAATGGCTTACTATGCGACAAAGAAGGATACTGCATCTATAATCATTGATACACAATATTCTGATGAAGAAAATGTCTATTTATTTTAAGAAAAACCTTACCATGAGATGATCGTCACTCAGCAAATCTGCGTTTTGTAGGATGCACTCTTGACTTACCGAGGCACCGAACAACCCAATTTAGAAAGAGTTTTTCATTTTTGGTACCCGTTTTGTTCAGCAGACTACCTCAAAACTCTATATGTGTTCAGCTTCAAAAAAATAAGCTCTTTGCCTTTGATGACATGTAACACGTATTTTTATGTAATTTTATTTTTATATTTGTTTATTTGTGCATGTTTTCTCACTTACCTCTTTTCGTTTGTTTATGTTTTGTATACGAGCATTTAAGCTTTCAATTTTTATATCTTCCGTCAGCCATTATCTTTTAATGTTATTTCTAAGCATGATTTTTGACCTTGTTAGACACTCTGTTGATGCACATTTCTCTTTTGGTCATTACTCCATGCATAGACTATGATGCTATATTTTTTTCTTCTTTGACTTTTCTTATTATCTTCACTTTATATTTTTTTGAATTTGCATCTAATTGTATTTTTTTTTTTTAGCCATGGTTGGTTCTGAAGAACAGCTTGTACTGATGCAACTCGCCATTATTATTATTATTCTGTATTTCACTCCTAGAGGAAGGGATGAGCTTGACCGGAACTCTGCCTGAGTTCTAAGGTCTTTAGTCGGAAAGGGTTTTCCGCAAGATGTGGGCTGTTCCTAGCAGTGCTATCTTTTGAACTTGTGTTGCAAAAACATCTCCGGGGAGTTCTTTTATGTTGTTCTTGAATGACATAGTGGCAGTCCCCAAAGCTCCGATGATCACGGGTACCGTTCTTGTCTTTGTCTTCCACATGCGCGATATTTCGATTTCGAGGTCTTTGTATTTTCTGGCCTTTTCCGCTTCTTTGGTGTTGACGTTGTTGTCGTCTGGTACAGATACCTCAATTAGCAGGCATGTGTTCTGTGTTTTATTATGGTAAATAATATCAGGTCGGTTGGCGGAAATCGTACGGTCGGTAATGACTCCTTTGTCGTACATAATTGATGCTTCGTCTGTCTCTACTGCTGCTTCAGGAGAATGATCATACCAGTTGTTGCTAACTGGTACTTGGTGCTGCTTGAGGATAGCTAAGTGCATGTATTTAGCGACGTTGTTGTGCCTTTCGGTGTATTCTGTTGGTGCCAGTGTTGAGCAGCCTGAAATAATGTGGCTTATACATTGATCATATTCTGCATTTGCTGTCGACATTCTGTTTCAGGACCATTCTTCTATGGTAGCGCGTGTTAAGTGCCTGATCCTGTGTAGCAATCAGTAGACTTTCAGTCTCCGCCTTCAGTCCTGTACGTATACTTTTCATCCAATCCAGGGACATGTGTTTATCTACATTGGTTTTGTGTAGGTTATTGTAGAACTGTCCGCGTTGACGTTGTGGGATGAAGAGGAGAACCCGTCAATTACGACGGATATCTTGCGGCCAAAGATAAAGTCACCCACCCTTCTGCAAAGCTTTTTTGGGAGGCCATAGGATGAAAGTTTGCTTAAGAAGGCAGCGTGCCACAGCTGATCGAACGCTTTCGTGATGTCAAAAGACTGCATGAGTTGACTCCACAATTGCGTGACGTAAGCTAGGAGGTCCCCTGTGGATCGTTGGTGCCGGAAACCATACTTCCTGTCGCTAATCAAGCTGTGACGTTCGAGGTAGTCCAGAAACTCGCGATTTATGCACCTCTCCATCACCTTACTTATAACAAAAAGCAGAGCTATAGGCCTGTAGTTCTAATAATCGGTCTTAGATCCTTTTTTTTGAGAAGCTCTGCTATATTCTTGATCTCTTCCTTTTTTTGCAGATCACCACACCGCGCTGGCCCGCCAAAGTCACCACCAACCCGCAAACGATGACATGATCTCCACGATAGTCTCCTTCACATCATCAGCTGCCTCGACGTACAACTCCAATCTACCAGATCCGAACGAGACCACCTTCAGCTACCTCTACACTCTGTCCTCGGACTTTCCCAATGCCACCAACATCTCAAACTACTCTGACCCCAGTCACGTGACCCCTGTCTTCCCAACCTACATCAGGACGACGTCCATGGTGTTTTGTATCCTGATCATGTGCTTGGGCGTGATCGGGAACGTGATGGTACCGATAGTGATCTTCAAGACCAAGGACATGCGGAACAGTACGAACATCTTCTTGGTGAACCTTAGTGTGGCTGATTTGATGGTGTTGTTGGTGTGCACTCCGACTGTGCTGGTAGAGGTGAACTCGAGGCCTGAGACGTGGGTACTTGGAAGAGAAATGTGTAAGTGAACTATGCTTTTCTTCTTTTGAAAATAGTGTAAGCATAAGAAAAAATAGTTATTTATTAATTAATTAATTAAGTCGGTTTACTCAGTGTATGGAGAATGGTGCATGTCACCAATCTGATTTGATCTTTGAAACTACGTAAAACAAATTTTTCTGCATGCTCCTGCAATATAAAAAACAAGTAAACATTTTCTGTTTCATACAATGGGTTTTATTACCATCAGTACAATATGGCTTCCGGATGGGCTACAATACTGCAGGTGCATTATGGGAGCTCACAGACAATATTGTTAGAGCGTAGGATCAGCATATGATAACAACACAAGCACTTCTTGATTTTACTAAGGCATTCGATAATCTAAATCATCGCGTACTACTTGCTACTACTTTTTTCCGATTCTTCTACTAATGTAATGAGTGTTTTTTTAGCTAATTGCTCTCAAAGTGTTACTATTAATATGGATGTATCGCTTAAATGTGCCATTTTATCTGGAATACCCCAAGGTTCTGTACTCGGACCCTTGCGTAATATATACAGGGTGTCCCAGAAGTCGACGTCAAGCCGAAACCGGGTGATAGGCAAAGTCATAACAGCTATCAGAAAAATATTTAAGAAAATTTTATGTATGTGTTTTGAAAATTATAGGTCTTTGAAAAAGATATAGAAGTTTCACACCCTACGGCAGTCTGTCAACTCCTGTTACTACAAATATTAACTTTTTTTGGATTTTATTTTTACAATGTAATGATGAATAATGCATCTTCAAACTGGTGTCTCAACCTTACTGCCAACTTTTCTCGTTCAGGAAAAATTGCCACTTATTTCCCAACCAAGTATTCCAAAGTAAAACTTTGCTCAACTTTAACTGGCTGTACTGGAAAAAAATGTACTACGAGAGTTTGGCAAGTAACCTTAAAAGTTGGCGCATTTCATAACGATTCCAAAATGGTATAACACTTAGAAGATTACTCGTTAACTTATGCACAATTTTTATTTGAAGAAAAACTGATGAAAATTTTTCAAAATTTCCTAATTAAACAGCGATTATGAAAACGCACAAGGACCCTTAAGGATAACTGTTTGAACAACAGTGGGCGTCAAAATGCTGCTGATGATGATTTACCTTTACAGCAAATGCTCAAACTGTTTTCCTTCAGCCGCATTACACGCTCGACATCTTCTTAAAAAGATCGGGTTATTAAACGAGCGAATCCACGGTTATTAACAAACTCAACTGCTTCCAATAGTCTTTGCCGTAGCTCAGCTACATTTTGAATCGGCTTGAAATACACTTTTTCTTTTACAGTTCCCCAGTAAAAAAATCTACAGCGTGTTCAAGCTCTTCTGTCCCGGGATTATGAGCCCCGAGTTGCTTTTTGTCGCACAATGTTAGAAAGACACAAGGAAGATCCACGGTTCTTTGAAAAAATTTTATGGTCAGATGAGACCACATTTAAGAAAGATGGGTACATGACCCTGCATAACTTACACGAGTGGCACGTAGCAAACCCACATTTGATGAGAGAAGATAAATCTCAATATCGCTTCAAGATAAACCATTGGACTGGAATTTTAAATGGTAAAATGATCGGTCCGTTTGAGTTCCCAGAGACTTTGACTGCTGAGGTTTATTTAGGTTTTTTGCAAAATCATTTAGAAAATTTATTGGAGGACGTGCCACTGAGTATTTACAGGGACATGTGGTTTCAGCATGATGGCTGCCCAGCGCACTATGCACTCTCAGTGAGAGAGTATCTCGATCAAAACTTTCCAGGCAGATGGATAGGGCGGTCTGGTACAATACCGTGGCCAGCCCGGTCACCAGATTTGAATCCGTTAGATTTTTTTTACTGGGGAACTGTAAAAGAAAAAGTGTATTTCAAGCCGATTCAAAATGTAGCTGAGCTACGGCAAAGACTATTGGAAGCAGCTGAGTTTGTTAATAACCGTGGATTCGCTCGTTTAATAACCCGATCTTTTTTAAGAAGATGTCGAGCTTGTATTGCGGCTGAAGGAAAACAGTTTGAGCATTTGCTGTAAAGGTAAATCATCGTCAGCAGCATTTTGACGCCCACTGTTGTGCAAACAGTTATCCTTAAGGGTCCTTGTGCGTTTTCATAATCGCTGTTTAATTAGGAAATTTTGAAAAATTTTCATCAGTTTTTCTTCAAATAAAAATTGTGCATAAGTTAACGAGTAATCTTCTAAGTGTTATACCATTTTGGAATCGTTATGAAATGCGCCAACTTTTAAGGTTACTTGCCAAGCTCTCGTAGTACATTTTTTTCCAGTACAGCCAGTTAAAGTTGAGCAAAGTTTTACTTTGGAATACTTGGTTGGGAAATAAGTGGCAATTTTTCCTGAACGAGAAAAGTTGGCAGTAAGGTTGAGACACCAGTTTGAAGATGCATTATTCATCATTACATTGTAAAAATAAAATCCAAAAAAAGTTAATATTTGTAGTAACAGGAGTTGACAGACTGCCGTAGGGTGTGAAATTTCTATATTTTTTTCAAAGACCTATAATTTTCAAAACACATACATAAAATTTTTTTAAATATTTTTCTGATAGCTGTTATGACTTTGCCTATCATCCGGTTTCGGCTTGACGTCGACTTCTGGGACACCCTGTATATATGTATCTCCGACTTGCGCACATTCGTTTAATATTGTGGTATTCAATTTCTTGGTGATGACTCAAATTTATAACCACTTCCATAGTAACAACACTTAAATTGATGATTATAAAATCAATGAAAAAGATAGAAAATCAATTAATGGCTATGCAAAAAAGCATAACCTCAACCTAAATCCTTCAAAATCAAAAGTGATTATTTTATCGCCTAAAAATTCAAGAAGTCATAAAAGCAATTTTAAAAAAAATTCAAAATTCATGTTGCAGGCTAATAAATAATTTGAGGAATCATAACCATATAAATGGTTCTTTGAGAGACTTGGGCTTACTGAGACACTCACAATGCCTCTTCACAATACATACTTCAATCAAATGCTTCACATACAACGCGATAACGCTTTATAATAAAATACTTCAGGCATCATCACTATGTATTTAAGAAATAAATCAATCAATTTATTTTATAAAAGTACTCACCAGCATAGTTTGACACTTCACCTTGCAACATCTTTCCTTTTCGGTGTACAGTCATACGTATAGTTAAATTTTCATTATTTACTGCTAGTAAAATTTTATATACTACTACTATAGTATGTGTAATACTTTTCCATATTTATAATTGCTATTGTATTTTTTCATACTTCTCAAGAGTTGAGTGGCAGAATAGCTTCAAGGTAAGCTTCGCTCTCAATAAAAGATTCAGATTCATTTATTGATCCATGTAGGTTTACATTGTAGACATTGGATAAGATGTTGTATACAGATTAAAATATAGATAAAAAAGTATAATACAAACAACAATAGGAACATAAAAAACAATATGATGCATACACACATGGCAATAAATTATTTATTAAGATCTATCAGAAGCATTGTTTACGTTTTTAATTCCTGGAGGTAATAATTTGGTATATCCTTGGTGCTAGGGGAGATTTTGTATGAAATGTATGATAAGACACAGGCCTAACTATATTATTTTTATTACGAATGCTGCAGTCATGGAGGTCAGTATGCTTAAGATGATCATTTCTGTGCTGAAAGTATATGTTAAAAGATCATAAAGACATATACAGGGTCGTATGAGTCATTAATTTTCAGATAATGATTGTAGAAGGAAGATAAACCAAAATATGTGTGTAAAAATAAAAAAAAAATTTTAAAAAAATTTACCTTGTTTTATAAAGTATCCTCCCGACAAGTATTTCAGTGCGGACCTGTATTTGATCGTGAGATCTTGGAGCACCGGCATGCCGTCACCTGATTCACGAGCCCGTTTTACTACATTAACAAAGGCACGAGGGGTTGGTTGCACTCGATTGGGAAACCGATCCGTATAAACATGTGCCATTTTTTATTTCGTTTGAGCCACGCAACAGACACCACTATTGACTGACACTGACTGTATACAAATGAATAAAATAATTGTAAAAACATCGTTCCAAATTCTTTCGCTTTTTTGTTTCCGATGCGATGAACCGATACGGCGGATTATATCCGTTGTCGCCAAACACGAGCACATAATATTATTATTGAGACAGGGCGGTACTCAAACTTCCAAAGGGCTATAACTTTGTTACTTTAATTTTAACAGAAAAATGGTAAAGGAAAAAAACATTTCTTTTGATCAGATCTACTCACTGTTAAAATAAATGATTTAACTTCGAACATGCTACTGTAGGTATTTTGTATTTAGCAAATATCTCACAGCAAGAGAATCTAGACCGTATGTTAAATATATTGCTTTTATTATTAAGTTTTTAAAAAAGTAAGCTGTGCTCCGCACCTTGTATCTCATTTATGATGGAACTAATGTTGTTAAACATTCAAGAAATTATTCCGACAACTATTCTCGTGAAGAATTATCCAATAACAATGAAATTGCAATTTGTACAACGAATCCACTTTGGTCGGTCCTCAAATTAAGTCAACCTTGTGTTCTAAGCTGGGAGATACATTTTCATTGAAACGTAATCCAGGTGAATGCAACTGTATGGTCTATGAAAGGAAGAGAACCCCTTTTCCACGGTCCTGAGTTACGCTTGAATTCAACAATATCAGTTGGAATGCCTGCAATTCCCAGCAAAAACGTAGCGATGCGAAGATAGCGCCATAGAAGGCGTCCTCCAATACATACCGTCGCGGTATTTCTTGCCGCTTCCTCTTTTTTCAACCGACACGGGCATATTGTCCAAGGAAAAGTTACTGCGACCCGCTAAGAAAACGCCAGTGGCGTCACACCTAAAAACAATAAGGCCCTAGGAAAGGCAATAAAATAAATTTTAAATTTATATTTATATTTAAATTTGCTGATTTCGGAACGGACGCTCCGCTGGTAAAGAGCATTGCATGTTTCTGGTTAGCTGGTTTTGCTAGAGTGGAAGATGTAAATAAAGGGTGTAAAGTTAGTAGTGGATCAACGGAAGTCAGATGATACAGGGCCTCAAAACATATACCTATATGTGTGATCCGAAATTCTATTAGTTCAGGAGTTATTTGCAGTTTTGTCAAATTTCGAAAAAACGGGATAATGAACCTTAAATCGCAATAACAACTAGACCATTAGGTTTAGGGCTGTGATTTTTTTTTTTTGACATGAGCTAAATCGTTAGTTTCAGCAATGGTTATGTTACCTTTTAACATAGCTAATTAGAAATCAACGCAATAAATCTTAAATTAATTTTTTTGTGAAAAATCTCTTCCATCCCTCAACTTTGGAGAGCGGTAAAAAGAATGAGGATGTATTTCATTATTCATTTTATTGTAAAAATTATTTCAATCCATGTAGAATAAACCCTGAAAATTTCCGCTTCCTACGAAACTTTTTTCATTTTTAATGTGAACATCAAGATAAGATATGTTAATGAGACTGCATTAGAGTTTGGTTGTTATGATCATAGCCTCTGTTTTAGCCAAATTAAGTTTTGTATAGTCACCGACGCTATCCAAAACAATATCCTTCTTGTTGATAGCTTGATCCTTACTATCAGGCATGCCAGTACCGGATCATCAGTAAAAAGAACGAATTCACTTTCAGAGAAATGCAAATCATTAGATATAAAATAATTTAAGGGGGACCCAGCACACTACCCTGCGGTACTCCGATTTTATTAATTATTATTAATTATAGTAGACGTATTCTGATCAATTTTCACCGTTTGTTTTCTGCCATTTAAGTAATTAAAAAAACAATCATATAGTTTACCAGAAATTCCATAAAATGATAATATACTCGTATTTCTATCTATGGTCTCAAATGCTCTTTCCAGTTCAAGAACCACAGCAATAAAATACTTATTGTTGTCAATTTAATTTGTTAATTTTCATACAGTTAATTGAATGTTTATAAAGAATATTATTTGCTTCAATATGATCAACTAGTTTTTTCAAGGTTAATGATAGGACGGTGTTCCTATACTTTTATTGTGTTTGATACTTTTGGAATAGGGACAAATGTGCTAATGTCTAGTTCATTTGTAATAACACCTGTTTCTAGTGATATACTTATAAGATTGGATACTCTTAATAATTTGCTTCAACATTTTACAGTTATGAAATTCACATAAACTGAACTTATTATCTAGTGATTTTATGATTTTTTTGATATTTTAGTAAGAGAGAATCTTAAGCTAGGAAAGCGGCAGATATAAGAAGCAGTTAGTACTACACTATCGAAACTATCAACTATCTCCTTTATACTATCGACAAAGAAAAGGTTGAAATTTTCAACTATCGGTACATCACCTTTAAGAATCAAAACTCTGTTATTAATATTAAACTCTATATAGGACACCCAGACAATTTAATGTTTTCCACATTTGGTTTGAGTTGTTACTATGTCTATCAATTTCATCAAAATATTTTTCTTTCTTACTCTCAAAGAGACGAACCATTTCATTACAGAACTTTTTATAGATTCCTTATGACCAGGTCGTGCCTGCTGAATGTTTTTCTTCTTAGCTTTACCACGATATTTTATATTTGAACAAAGCCTACTTTTGCGACTTTCCATAGTATCTCATAATATACTTTTGAGGGCAGAATAGCGTACTTTTGATGTATTCCCAGTTTTAGATATTTCCATATTTGCAGTTTGGAACATTGCCATCCTAAATATTAACTTATACCAATGATTAACGTAAAGCAATGCCTATATATACGTATACCTATCACATTGTAAAAACTGAATGCTGTACGCCTCGTGGAAGCTGCTCACTGATTAAACGTAGTAAACCTGGATTCATAGGAATCTTTTGGGATGTTAATAGCGCGTATGCACCGTATGTAAAATCTCATACGTACGATGATTGTTTTGGCGAGAGGCCAAACAGGAGATTAGTAAGTGTGCGGTGTGAGATAACTGTGCCTATGGACCGTACGAAATGTTGATTGAGTCAAAATATAACCCGAATGGTGTTGAAACTCTCTTGAGAAAATTCCGCGAACTCAAACACGTATTATGGTTGGAATGAACATATTTACTTTTTGTCTCTATAACCATGACCACCCGCAGACAGCGATGCATCGTGCTCGTTAGCAATGATCTCTGGAAAAACGCAAAACATTATGCGAAAGTGTATCTATTTGTGCATATATGCATAGAGATTTGCCTTTTGACTCATTGATAACTATGGATTTTTTTTATACCGAAGCAGCCGCCCAGGCAGAAGCTTGAATACCAGAGCACCGCGGGTGATATGGGGAGCTTAAAGAATCCATTTTAATCCGATTTCTGAACTTGAACTGAGGTAGACTGTTCCACGATTTCGATACCTAGGGACAGAAGAGCGATGATATCGGCCAGTTCTGGATGTACGAAGTTCGACACGGTTCAATCTGTCTGCTGCTTTCTCTTCCTTACGATCCTCAGAATTCTTCATTGTAAGCTTCTGAGGGGCTGTTGAATGACCTATATATCAGTTTCGTCATAGTAGTAGTATACGTTTATTTTTACCCCAAAATACAATTTGATAATAAATACAAATGCTAACTTCACTACAATAATAAACGTAAATAAAACATAATACCTGACTTCCACAAAATAATCTTAAGTTAACATGTTTTAGAAGTCACAGAAAGTTTTTAAATTGTCTTGTAAAGCCCATTGAAACCAAAATAGTTGGTTGTGCACGGGCAGATTTTTTTGTGATATAATTTTGATAATAAATTTTGCTTAGTGCAAGACTTTATACAAGCACATTGTAAGTATGGAAGGTAAGGAGGAGTATCACTTATATAATAAAGTTTATTCCACTAACTACAGAAATATGGAGGGTGAGGAAGAGTAATACTATCGTAGTACGATTTCTAGTACATAATTTCTACTAGATTTCGTGTCTCTTGTCTACCAATCGAAGAAATATATTTTTTAAATAAAGATTTTATCAAAGACAATGAGTTTATTTTATCAACATACATACGGTACACGTACGGCAAACAATTATAAATTTTACATGATAGTTAGGTGTGGCATCGCAAACTTACATTTCTTTGAAAAGTTTATACTTTTAAGTTTTGATTTTCTTTATATCTAGTACTATAAGCATGGCTAGTTTTATTGAAGTTGTTTTTGTGTTTGTATATGAATTGAATTAATTCATGCAGAAACAGTTGCCGTAGGTCAAACACTCCAGTCTCTGAAAATAATTTATCAGAACGATAAGTAATTTTTTTCCAGACATTACTTTCAACATTCTTTTTTGCAGTATATCCAGTGATTCAACTAATGAATAATACATTTTCAGGTGCATGTAGTGTATGAGATTTTTTAGTTATTTAAAGCGATATAAGAGTTGTCTTAAGGTATTTTAATGTTAGCTATATGAACATCCCATCTCAAGTGGCGATCAATGGTGACACCTAAGTATTTATAGGTTTTCACAGATGTTAAAGACATACTTTGATTTATTAAAAGTTGTTCATACTGAGGTAGACAACGTACTGTATTAGAGAAAGGCATAAAGAATGTCTTTTCATAACTCACGGTTAAAAGTTTATGAGCAAAATAATCAAAAATAGTTCCTAGATCCCGCTCTGCTTTAATTTTTACATTTTCTCAAATGTTATCATCATACAGGACTACCGTATCATCTGCAAAGCTAAACACTTGACCAATTGACGAAGAAGCTGGAATGCTGTTTATGTAAATTGTAAACAAGATTGGACCCAACACAGTACCCTAAGGTAAACCGTAATCAACTGTCTTTTCATTACTGAATGTGTCACTAATCTTCACTACTTGTTTTCGATTTGAGAGATAGCTTGTAAACAACTGTAAAGGTCCGCCTCGTACTGCTGCATCCTCCAAGGTCTCCAACATCTGCTGGTGATTTACAGTTTCGAAGGCCTCATCAATCAATTCTGTCTGTATGTTCTCAGTTGTTTCTGCAAAGGACTCTTCTTCAACTGCCTTAACTTCAATATTACTTGTTAATCAAGGTACAGTGCTCTGTTTTGGAAGCATTAAACTGTACCAGATTGTTGCGGCCCCAAGCAATGGTAACCTCCAGGTCTCTCGTCACAGAGGTAGTCTCTCGATTTGTCACTTTGAATTCCTGCATGTAGAGAGCTGTGATTAGCAAATCGGACAGAGAGGAAGTCATCCACACATCTGCAATGCTTCTTTGGGAGGCCTTAGGATGGAAGTTTTGCATAAGGGCGCAGCATGCCTGAGCTGATAGGATGTCGAGGAAGTGTGAGCCAGAGACGTAGCGGCCTTCTGTCATCTTCATCGTATGGAATGAGGATGAAATCAACTTGGCGAACCATTGATAAGTGGCGATCGTTCACCTACTTGTTCACAACGTATTAAGGTGGCACACCGATGGTTGCTTCTGATGTTTCAATGTTGGTACCGTTGGCCCAAACGCATAATATACGAGCGAAACAGCTGCAATGGCAAGCCACGTATTCCATACCTGTGCAGTGTGAAAAGAAGTAGTAGATGTTCTCTAAAACTATACAATTCAGTTTCAGTGCTTCTTTTACTAATAAACCCTTGCTGTCTTTCTGATATACAATTATTTTTGCTACAAAAATCCACTATACTACAACTATTTAAAACTGTAATGACTCATAGGCGTGATCAACACGTGATCAGAGCTCGATCCCGGCTTCCTTCCAGTACAGCCGTATAGCGTACGACATATGTCGTTTCTGTGGCTTTGCGGTGGTCAACAGCACAGACAGAGATGGAAATAATGGCTGATTGTTCTCCGTCGGTAAAACCAATGAAATCAAAGACGCGCCTCGACCGGCAGACTCATAGGCGTCGGCAACGCATTGGAACGTGTTTCGTTGAGCGATCGCATATTGTGTGTTTTTATAAGAATTGTTGTGTGATTGTTATTGTTGTCGTTTCTGTGATTACTGTTTTGGTTATACTTAACCATGGAGAGTACAAATGGCACGAGTGGAAGTACTGAAAGCCAGGGAACAAGTAGACGGCTTCGTAAAGCACTGAAGAGGGACGCGAAAGAAGTCGTGCTCAACGTGTTCAATTATCTGAACAGAACTATGTCGCAGGGAGATGCACTCGCGCGTTGTGAAAGTATGACAGGCGTTCCAGAGTGGACCATTCGCAGGGTGGTGCATGAAAAGAAGAAAACTGGAGCTACTACTGATCCAAAGTTTAATTTGAAGGGACGAAAGGCCGTTAAATTGGATGACGATAGCAAAATGGCGTTAAGGCGAACCGTACATTCATTCTTCTTTAGGAATGAGATACATGATTGAATATAGGCGACAAAGCAGAAAAATCTATTATTTGGACGAGACATGGGTAAATGCAGGTCACACAGTTAAAAAAACCTGGATAGACAAAAACGTAGTGAGTAACCGACAAGCAAGCATTGAAGGTTTCTCAACAGGTCTTCGTGGACCGTCAGGGAAAGGTCAAAGATTGATCGTAACTCATATTGGTAGCGATAGTGGCTTTTTAGAAGAGTGTGACTTGATTTTCGTCTCTACGAAAGGAGGTGATTACCATGACGACATGAATGCCAGCTGCTTCGAGAGCTGGTTTCAAGGGGTGCTTCAGCGAGTTGAGCCCAACTCTGTGATCGTCATGGATAATGCTTCCTACCATAGTCGTCGAGCCGAACGTGTACCGACTATGGGATCTCGAAAAAGTGACATGCAGCAAT